TTGACTGCTGAGGATTCTGTTGAAAGACTTATGCCATGGCATTGGGCTGTCATTGGAGGATCTGAAAAGTATACTTGGCTTGTCGACTCTCACTTGGAAAGAAGCGTAAGATTGTTTAATGGGAATGTGGACTTTGAAAGGTGGCAACAGGTGTTTCATTTAATTGAAGCCCATCGCTCACATGAGCCGGATTTGGTGTGTTGGAAAGTATTAAACCGTATTCAGGCGCAGCACAAGAAACTTGAGCCTGGATTATTGGCTTGCATTGCGGCTTTAGGAGATAGTGACACAAATGAAAAGCTTGCATCACTTCTCATTAAATTCTCATCGGACGAGCAGGCTAAGGATTACATTTTAAAAATAGTCAAGGAATCACGAATATTGGAATGGGCCGCATTTTATGCCAAGGACACAACAAGGGGAAGAACACGAGCGAGCGATGTAGAGCCAATGTTCAGGGCCTTGCAGATCTTAAGCCAACTAGATCGTCGTGGCAAAGAGCCGCTAAGTAGATATGCTTCTAGCAGCCAGTTTTTGGAGGATGCTTTCAAGGTTGGTTTCCTTAGTGCAGATGTGTGGAAATCCGGGTTTGCCACGAGCCTAGCTACAGCATGCAGTCGATGGGGGCTTGGCGATCTGATCAAGTCAGTCCTGCTGCCAAGTGCTCGTTGGTCTGACCAGGAATCGAATGAGAATCTAAACAGGGTCCACAGAAGTAGACATTTGGTCCACATGAGCATCTCTAACTTGGAGGAGGACATCCCTCTGGCTTACTGGTTAACAAGGCTGAAAGTGAAAAACACAGCAGAAAGTAGTGGAAGATCAAACCAAGAGGAGAACAAGAGCGAAGCTCTTGTAAAGAAAGTTGAAGATCTTTTAGAAAGCAGGAAGATTGGAGGGATGCTGGAGTACCCAAATGACAAGGGAGCTCACACAGGCAGGACTGCCTTGCATTGGTCCACCATCTTTGAGGAGACCTCTACCACCCTCTCTATCCTCCATACAAGGAATTGTAGAGTTGACATATTTGACAACTTTGGAAAGGCACCATATTGGTATGCTCCAAAATCCTGGAAAAACAGCTTTCTGCTCAACAGCCTGAAGTGGGAGCAGTACCTGGACAACTTGCACAGGGACCGGGGACTGTTTGTAGATGCCCTCAATGCCATATTGGTGGGGGCAGCTCTGATTGCAGGTGTGACATACACTGGATCCTTGAGCCCACCTCTGCAATACTCCCTGAAGCTCATGAAGCACGGCCAGCAGGAGGATGACCTCAAGTATGTGGCCATCAACAATCCAGGAGTGAAAGCATTCTGGATCTTCAACAGCCTCTCCTTCTTCTTTGCGATGGCAAGCGCACTGGCTGGAGTTGCAGGCATCCTCCCACTGCCCCAGGTGTTTGACTTGGGTGTGATTGACAGGCTGAGGTGGACACTGCTCCTCGCTGCAAGCCTGCTGGTTGGCTCGATTTGCTTTGTTCTTGTGGCGTTTACATGTGCAGGCTTTGCAGTCTTGCCACCTTTGTTCCGCTACAACGTTGTTATGATAGTCACATCGGTGCCGGGGGGATTGCTGTGCATGCTGATGACTTTGCTGTTTATCAAGGCGCTCTCTCCGCTTGTGTCTTGGGCGTACACATGGTATACTGATGCTCCTGGTCTGAAAGCCCCGAAACAGCAGGTTAGAGTGGAGGAAACTGCCGTGGATGTTGTCGACACTGAGGACCAGAATTCCGGCAAGATCTTGAAGTGGGTGCTGGAGCCAAGTGAACAACCGGTTTACTCTCGTTTGATCTACGTGAGGACTCCTGGATACCCGTGGATGGATGGCTTGGATCGGCTTGGTCAGAGTAGCTGAGTTGTCTTGTTTGCTCTCGCGGCTTCATCCCCATCTGCTGCTTTTGACCGCTTTGATCTTCACAGTACCTGATTTGTAGCACTTGCTATAAGCTCCTGATTAATCACCAGACCGTGCTCTTCTCCGGCTTCTTCGGCCACCAGGTATGCCTCTCGCAGGAAAACGTATTGCTCGGCTGCCAGCCAAGGTGGTGACGTTCAAGACGAGCGCCCTCTACTACACGGTAAAGCTCATGAGCTCCAGGATCCCGGAGACCCCAGCCGGACCGCTGGGAGAATTCGTAAGGAACGGTAGCCTCTGGAAGTTCTCGAGCTGCTCGAGCTAGAGCCTTCCGGATATGAGATGACAAAGGCCGCGTCCTTGATTGAGCCACCACCTTTCTTCCGTTCCGTCACAGCCAGTTCTCCGTCCCATGAAACCAGCTCGACGTAGGAATCCTCGGAAGAAGGCGACCCGGAATTGTTCAAGACTCTGCAGTTCTTCGCATGGCAATGGCTGTTCTTGGCCTGGGGGCTTTATGGCTGTTGAAGCCTGTTCCAGAAGAGCAGTGAGACTTGCACGCAGGGAACTCGAGCTTAACTTGAAGAAAATCCAGGAATGCATGCAGGTGATATTTGACGTGCACAGCATAGAATGCAGTGAGTGCTTTAAAGCAACGATACCTGAGCTGAGAAAGAAGAAGCACAATCAGAGGTGGAGTTGAACGTCTGAGACAACTTACAGCCGAAGCAAGAGCAGAGCCTGACTTCTGGCACGCGCCGTTTCATGACAAAATCTATAGCAAGCTCTGGGAGAGTCAGAGTGAGTTACCTGAGCCTCGCAACAGTCGACTTCCGGTCAGAAGGCAAACTGTTCACTGGTGGTGTCACTCGCCAACTAAAGATAAGTCAAATTGGCCTCTCAAAAACTTTCGAGTGCACTTATCAGTCCCTGCGCCAAAAAAAAAGCAAGGCCCAGCATACTGCAGACATAGAGAATCAGTTCGAAGAGCCTAGCATCAAAGACGACGCCGACACCTCACCTCCAGAAGAAATCTACGGAGATTTCCAGCTAGTGCATTCGGAAGCCGCGTTGACGATTGGAGCAATCGGCTTTTGCTGCCACGAGCTTCTAAAACAAGCCACGTATCTCAAAAAGCTGACGCAAGAGCTGCTACTGCAGGAAGAAGAAGAATCGCAAAGTTAGAATTGGATATAGTTTTGTAAGCAAAATGTAAGCAAGAATGCCTGCAAACCTGCAGGCAAAGCATCTTTGAACTAAATTTTAAAAACTTACACTCTCAAAATCAGCATATAGCGAAGATGCCAGAAACTGAGTCTCATTCAGACGTAAAACTACATAAAGTACATAAATCGTCAACCTCTTGCAGAGAGCAAGGCTTGTAATTCACCCCTTCTCTTTTCTAGCTCCTGCAAATCCAGATTAGAGCACAATTCGCAAAATCTACGCAAGAGATACCTCGAGATCTTTAGCAGCCTTCTCGCGCTCTTTTGATTTTTCAATGCGGGAACGCTTGAATTTTTTAATGCACAAAAGGCCCTGCCAGTTGATGCAAGAAAGCCGTGGTAAAACCTCCAAGAAAACGAACAAAAGCATACTCACTGCTACAACGTAAACTGCACCACATCCCAGGAGCATTCCACTAGCGACTTCCGAAAAGACCACTTGATAAGCACGGTCCTTGTGCTCATCTGATAGGGCCTTTGTCATCACTGCTACACTGCAAAACCAAGCTCTCGTTAGCAAAGAAGAGCGAAGAAAGAAATTTTGTAAGAGAAGCTTAGCATGCCTCGTCCAACCCAGTACTCAAGAACCTATGCACAAAACGAGCGAGCAATCACATCGAAAGAGCAGAAGAAAAGCGATTCTAGAACTTACACGCCAGAACTTCAAGAAGAATTCCCATTCGGTCTCGGCCACAGCGACGAAGAGCGCGATCACTACCGCGTAGCAGCGAAGAATCCTTCAAATATCTGTAGAAACGAAGGTGAAACATCCATCTAGGCTCGATGTTCGACGAGAAGAGAAACTTACATCGCGGCCATGCTTGAAGGCTCGCACCACCGAAATCACACTCACCGCAGTGCACAGCAAGGCCGAGATCGCAGTGAGAGCGCTAAATATCCGAAATGCGATCACCAGAGCGTCCGGCCCTCGCGGCTCTCGTCGATCTAGACTGCTTCTGCTGCTCTCG